GGAAACAATACAACATATTAAAAGAGAGCACAACAGTCACACAATTCGGGTGGGGTTGGAATCTTCCCCTACGACGCTTCTCCAGGGATCTCCTGGTGGTCCCCACTCCCACCTCTCGAAGGCGAATGGTGGGAGAAAACCCTCAGTTTGATTTTAAAATCTAATAATTATAACAACTAGGAAGCCGACTTAATTGCTAATAATTATAAAACTGGGAAGTTGACTAATTCCTTCCGCCCCATCCCAGTTTCTCCTCCCTAAATCCCCTTTTTTTGTTTGAAGGTAAAAAGGAGATGCGGGAGAGCAGAAATGCTGCCGAAGACGTGGGGTTCCTGAGCATGAGCAGAGCGCCATCCTCTCGCAAGAGCTTCCTGGCTAAAAGGTTTCAAGACTCTTCGGGAAATACCTGTCGATGCCCTTCAGCAGCTTCCCGACGCTCGCCCGCATCTGCTCGAAGGCCGCCATGGCTGCGGAGGCAGGAGACGAAGAAAGGGGCGGCCGGAAAGGAAGCGGAAGAAGCGAAGCAAAGGAAGCTTCCGGTTAGAGAGGCGCCGGACTTCCTTTCCCGCTCTAGGCTTTGCCGGAGGCCTGCGGAGCATGCGGCGCTCGCGCGCGCGCGCAGTAGAGACCGGGCGTGCCCGAAGTCGCGTAAAGAAGCGTTTGCCAACAACCTCCGCCGCTCTAAGACGCGTGGGACTTCAACTCCCAGAATTCCTCAGCCGACAGAATAGGCGCCTTCCCTTGGGCCCAGCAAACCCACTGCATTGTGGGAGTTGAAGTCCGCACGTTCTTAAGAGCGGCTGAGGATGAAAAACACCGGTCCAGAGCCACCTTCTCCGCCCCGCCCGCCTTATAAGTAGCCCCGCCCACTTCCCGCCTCCTTGTTAAAAGCATGTGCTCTTTGACAATGAGGGCTAGGAACTTGATTTTTTTTCCCTTCATCACCCCTTTTGAAAATAAACTCTCCAAATATATCCTAGCTGGGTGCGACAATGATAAAAGTTTATGAATGACTCCAAGCCTCAATGAATAAATTCAGAGGGGCTGTAGATTGCAAGGGGGGGGGGGATAGATCTATCTATCTATCTATCTCTATCTATCTATCTATCTATCTATCTATCTATCTATCTATCTATCTATCTATCTA